CCCCGAGCCCAGGTCAGCTGAGCGGCGGGGATCCGCGGCAGGTCCCCGCGCGCGGCAGGCTGGCGACGAGCGCCGAGGTCGCGCAGGCTGGAAGAAGCCGGGCCGCGGGTGCCGGAGCCGCCGCCTGGTGCACGGCTCCGGGCTCGGACCGCTGCGGTCTGCGTGCTCCTCCGTAGTGTCTGAACAGGAGGCGAGAGCCCTGCTGGGTAGTTGGGATACACAGACCTCTGGGCGCAAAGTGGCGCAAAGCTCGGGCACAGATGGTAGTGTGAGGAGAGTACAGCTGGAGAGGCTCCTCACTGTTTCAGAGAACCGAAAACCAAGGCCCCTCACGCTTTAGTCCCCCCAAACTTCACCAGCCCCTCATCCACGCTGCAATGGTCTGCCCAGCGAAGGTAACGCCCACCTCCTGCAGCTCCACAGGTGGATCTCAAAGCATAATCGGCCCTTCAAAGAGTAAACAGTTACTAAAAGCACCTAATCAGTAGGGTGGTTGTGAGGGCTGAGAAAATGCGTGCACAGCGTGCAGCGTTGGGCCCGGCCCAGAGAAAGCACAACCCATTGTCCTGATGTTAGTGGACTACAACATTTACCTCCATTTTGTAAAGCCCCACCGAGGAGGTTCCTGAGGTCCCTGAAATCTTCACTAAAAGCACAGGCAAATTCAGGTTGTTTTCAGCATAAAATGCGTTAACATGTACGGTTGTCCCTAACAATGCCAAGGTACCCAAGAAATACCAATTTATTTCAAGGCTGGTAGTCACACAGCCTACCTGAATCCCAGTTTTGCAACAGCATGTGACTGTGATCTAGGAAGTGAAGAGGGTATTTCACATTGCATAAAATAGACTGAAGTTTTTCTGTGTGGATGTTATCTGCCTTATTTCTGCATTTAAGGACTTTTTGAAGAGAAGTTCTCCCTTCATAAAATCCAAGCTTTGTATTGCTATAAAATGGCCCTGGAATTGCCTGAATCTGTAGACACAGCACAATATTTTACTTTTTCAGAGTCAGCATTTTTCACAAGCCTGGCATCTTGGCTTTAGGGACATTTGGATTATCCAGCCCAAGTCCCTAAAACTAAGGGAACAGGATCCAAAGAGGTCAGGTGACCTGCCTGTCATAGGGTGTGGGACAGGACCCAAACTCCTTTCCTGGCTCTTGGTCTCCTTACGGTAGAGCGCATTGATATTAAGGGGGAGAGGCTCTGGCTGGTTCAAAGCCTCCCTCACTCCAGAAGTATTTTTACTTTTGATAGGAACAGAGCTCTCAATTTAAATAATGTTCCCTAACTCGTGGCATTAAATGCCCAGCTCTGGTCTGTTCAAAACTGATAACAAGATTTATGGGAGTAAGAGTGGCAAAGGATTTTTTTTTCACAAATCCTAGAAATTCCATTAAGCCAAGTCAAAGGAAAATTCATCCCTGCAAATATGTTTAGATATACTGTGTTGTTCTATTAAGAAATATTTTAGGGAATCTATTAAAACATAAACAACCAAGAACAGAGACTTATCATTCCTCCATTCATTCCAGGACACAAGCATGACATCATTTGGATCACTTCACTTTGAAAACATACATTTGTCCAAACTCAGAATGTACAACACCATGAGTAAACTGCAATGTAAACTATAGACTTTGAGTGATCATGATGTGTCAAGGTAGGTTCATTGATGGTAACAAATGTACCTCCCTGGTGGGGGATGTTGATAGTGGAGGAGGCTGTGCGTGTTTAGGGGCAGGGGGTGTATGGGACTTCTGTATTTTCTGTTCAGTTTTCCTTTTAATCTAAAATTGCTCTGAAAAATAAGATAGATATAGCTATATATACAGATATATACATATATATAGGTATATATATATATATATATATATATATATATATATATATATATATATACACCCCCATGGATCAAAGAAATAAAAGACTTCCTGTTACTGTTTTGTTATGTCAGGACCTTGGAAGTCATCACCCCATCCTAAAAACAAGTAAAAAGCTGGCAAACTGAAAATCAACAGTTTTTCTTAGATCTGTCAAAGAACTGAGGTGAAAGGGCAAGCTGCTGTCCCCAAAATTAGAGAAATAAACAGGTGGATACAAAGAATCACGACTGATAAAGCAGAAACCCAGGAGCAGAAAGCTCTGCGGAAACCAGTACTAAGAAAGGAAAACCTAAAGTCTAATTAATTAGTCGCTGGAGGCTCAGTGTGGACAAATCTGACAGTTAGAAACTTGGTGGGAACTCAGTCTTAGGGGTCATCCAGCTTTGTGAGTTTTGTTTCCAGATCTACCAGTTCTCACGTTTAAGGTTAGAGAACAACCCCTCATACTTCCAGTAGGGGGCGGGAACCATTTTGAAACATGCTCAAGGACTACCCTCAAGAGAAACTGTTTTATCAGAGCCTTACCTCCTGGAGTTTTATCTGAGCCTCAAATAGGAGAAGGGAAATATCCTCTAGCCTTCCTGCCCTACCTAAGCGGGTGAATGAGAGAGCACTTATGATATTCACAGCCCAGGGACAAGCTCACTAAAAGACTAAGGCCTAATCATAGAACTATAGAAAGCTTCCCCTCTCCCCACATCCTCCCACTACATCACTAAAAGCCTGTTTGCCACTGTTTCTTTCACCCCATACATAACGTACGGCTTTCAACAAAAAATTACAAGGCAAAAAGAGAGAGAGCAAGCACTAGAACCAGACTCAGATGTGGCTGGGATGTCGGATTATCAGGCCAGGAATCTAAAACACTAGGCCAGCATCGCCCTAATACCAACACCAGACAAAGGCATGACAGTCAAAGAGAACTATAGACCAATGTCTCTCATGACATAGATGAAAAAAAATCCCCAACAAAACATTAGCAAATTAAATCTAACAATACATAAAAAGAATTATACAACATGACCAAGTGTGATTTATTCTGGGTATGTAAGGCTGGTTCAGCATTCAAAAATCAATTAATGTAATCCATCACAACAATGGGTTAAAAAACAAAATCACATTAGCATGTCAGTAGATACAGAAAAAGTGTTTGACAAAAGCCAACATGCATTCATGATAAAAACTCTCCACAAACTAAGAATAAAGGGGAACTTCCTCAACTTGATAAAGAACATCTCCAAAAACTAAGCCTAATATTACACTTAATGATGAGAAACAAGTAGTTTTTCTGCTAAGACCAAGAATAAAGCAAGGATGTCTCCCCGTAACACTCATTTTCAACAACATACTGGAAATCCTAACTAATGCAATGAGAAAAGAAAATAATACACAGTTTGGGAAGAAAGATATAAAACTATCTTTGTTCACAGATGACATGATTGTCTATGTAGAAAATCTGAAAGAATCAACAACAACAAAAAAACGAATTAGCAGCTTACAGCAGGTTACAGGATACAAGGTTAGTATAGAGAAGTCTGTCATTTTCCTATACATCAGCAACGGCTGGCTGTTTTATGGGCCCTGGGGTTGCGGGGAGAAAGAGGAGGAAGGGCTAGGAGTAGAAATTACTGGGTACTGAGTTTGAGTAGGAATAAATGTATTCAAGTTTTCCCACTTCTCCTCCCCAATAAGGAGATCTCAGCAGAGTCGCCTGAAGATCTCTGCCCAAGGCCTCAGATAAAGAGACCTAGGAGTAAAGGCACTGAAGCTAGGGCTGTGAATATGTGAAGCACATGCACAGTCAGAGAGGCAACAGTAGGTCCTTCACTGCCACCCCCTTTAGAGATTTGGCTACATCCCAAGTCTGGTTGGGGAGGACAGCTTTCCCGCATGAAATCTGTCAGGTAAAGCCTTTGTAATTGCCTGTGGTCAGGCCTGAAAAATCAAGCTTATATCATGTGATCCAACAGATCTGATAGTTCTGGAGATACCCTTGGGGGTATATGGCGTTTATGGAAGAGCCACAGTGTAGACCCTCATATTCTGGAGCAAGGCTATGCATTTCACCACAGAGAGCTACGCTGTGTGAAGAACATGCCCCAGTGTACTGCTGGGTCTGGTGGGGACCAAACATCTGACCGGTGTACAAGAAGTGACTGTGCAGCCTGAACTGAGGACTTTCACGTCAACCAAGCCGTCAAGTTGGGCAGGGGCAGCTGTTCCAGGGGCAGCTTTGTATCAGAAGTGTTACATTCAGACTCAAGCAGAAGTTCAAGAAAATTATACGAATTGGTTGTCTAGCCCTCCATGTAATTTATCTCTTGCTGCACTGGTGACAATACTGATGACCTCATGGGGAATTCCTTATGACAGAGGCCTGATTCACACGTGAGCTGATGCAATATGTACTAGAACTGGCCATAAAAAACTGTTGCCACATTACAGCCCCACTTAGGACTGGGCCTGAATGACATGGGTGAAGGGGAATCTTCCCAGTGCACAGACTTACGAGACATACGTTTGACTTCTAACTTCAAGTGAAAGAAGAGGTGGCCCAACGTACAGTTAAATATTGAATCAGGGCAGAGCCAAAAGTCTTGTTTGGTTGATCAGGGTCATAAAAGAAATAAAACTGGAAGACGGGTCTGGGTAGATAATATGCGGATGGACACTGTAGGAGTGGGCCCAACAGATGCTGTTTCTTTGTATCTCATATTAATGCTCAGAACAGAACATGTGCAGCCAAGACTCTTGACAATGAAGAACACAGAAAGACGGTCCTGTGAATTTTAGCCAGCCTCTCTATGCACCACTCCAGTACTTGACACTAGGCACGGGAAGAGAGTGGCCATGGTAGCAGGGATGAAGATTATGCATAGACCCATAATCCTTGGGGCTTTCTCTCACCAAGGATGATCTCACTGCCTCT